GCTTGGAACTTGTCAGGTGAAAGACGTCTTGGTGTGGCTGACACGGGTGGACCTGTGGTGACGATATGATGACGAACCTCGTGTTTAGGCTCGGTGGAGTCGGTATTAGAACGGACCAAAGACGGAAATTGCTGAAGCAATGAGGAATACGGCGTAGAGTCTGGCATGAGTACGCGAAGTCCAATGGAAGTGACTGGGGCGAGATGGCAAGGGACAGTGAGCGAAGTGCTGTCGTCCCGTAACTTCCTGCAACGTAGGTCGACAGCGAGGCCGAATTTGCTATAGAAGTCGATGCCAACTATGGGTTTCTGGACATCTGCGATGGTAAAGATAAAAGGAAAGTCGAGTCGTAAACCAAGGCTTAGGTGTAACAACTTTTGGCCGTATGTCGCGATCTTGGTCTGGTTAGCCGCCTGTAACGTAAGTCCGGCTTGTTGCAGAGGGCGTTTTTCCAACGAACGTGGTAAAACGCTGATTTCTGCACCCGTATCGACCAAAAAATGAAGTTTAGTCGTGGAGTCGAACACGTACAGAAGGCGACTGGGGATTTGGCCAGCGACAGCCGTCGCCATTACTAGCTGGCTTTGGCGTTTCCCGGTTGCGAAATCGAAGTTCCTTTCAAATATTTGCATCCTGGGCGACAGTTACGTGCTGATTTACCGAAGCGGCGGTGGAAATAACAGTATGAGCGCTGACGTGAGCGTGATGTGCTGCGGCGCGGAGCACGAGGACTTCTTCGGCTAGGAGTGCGTTCACGTCGAATAGCAGACATGCTAAGTTCTAGACGGGATATTCTATCGTTTATCGAATCAAGCAAAAGAATCCCTGGTAGCTAGCTATAAACGAACGACACCGTGGACGCGCTAGCTTGCGAAACGGAGCAAACACAGCACACAGAGCAGTCGCGCGTTGCAACCGAAGCGAGCGCCAAGCAAAAATGGCGATGAGCAAGTAAAGCATTCGAACTCAGCAATCAGTTCAACAAACCACACCGGTTGCCTAAGTGTACAATTATAGAATTTTGGTTAGAATCTTACACAAGCAAACCGGGGAATTTCCAGACTGCTACATAGCCCTCTCCCAGAAGGGACTGTGTAAGCAGTCCTTCGATCTACGTGAAGACTGTCCGTCGCGGGCCAGCCTTCTGCGAGACCAGGTTGTGAAACCCGATGCAGCTGCTGGGGGAGACCCATGAAATCGGACCCTAGCGAGCTCTCACCCGTGTCCTCCCTACGGTGTCGAAACGGTAAAAATACTGTTTGTAGGTGGGACAGTTAATAAAGTTCACGTAGGCAGTTGAGCAGGAAGATTGTTGAACTCCCAGTTGACGTGCGGAGATCCAGCGAAATTGAAACCGAGGTGCAACCAACCGACAGTGTATATGGAACGCAAATGAAAAAGCAGCATAAATGCATAGCAATACACAAAGAAGTGCAAAGCGAAAAACGTGCAAAGCTGTTTTTGGTTTTCAAAAAGTTTTGTTCTTTTTTGGTAGTTTCAAAACATTTTGGTCTCTTTTGTGGATTTTCAAAAACGTTTAGTAAGAGCAGAAAATTTCTAAGGCACGTTCTACGTAAAATAGTAAGTGCTGACAAAGTCTGAAAAACGAACTGGAGGCTTGAGTTTCCTACCGCGTCGATTGAGAGTAGGGAGAGTAGGGGTGCCGTCAGTTACGGTTGTCGGATCTGCTGGACCGGACTGACTCATCTGAGGTTACGGTGCCGACTGTGATGGCACAGGCCGTGAAGGTGCTTGCTGCACTGAAGAGTCAGACTTGCTGAAGAATGCTGGCTTGAGTCAATCAATGGTGATCGTTTCAGTGGTGTTGCGTCGTGGCTTGTCGATGTCGGGATCAGCTTGTTGGGCAGCAGCCATAGCGGATAGTTCAATGTTGGTGCTCGGCGATAAGCTGATCTGTTGAATGCGTGAACGTGCATCCGCGACGGGATTGAGAGCACCTGAGACATGACGTACGTCAGTCGTAAACTGAGAAACGTAGTCTAGGTGTCTAGTTTCCCGCGGTGAATACTTGTCCGTTGCGTAATTGATTGCGTAGATCAATGGCTTGTGGTCGGTGAAGATGGTGAAATGTCGACCTTCGAGATAGTGACGGAAATGTCGGATACCTAGGTAGATAGCTAACGGTTCCCTACCGAAGGTGCTGTAACGCGATTCGGCAGGTTGTAAACGTTTCGAGAAGAAACCTAGAGGTATCCATCGATGGTCGATGAGTTGTTGAAGAACTGCACCGACGGCAGTGTCGGAAGCGTCAGTCGTCAGGGAGAGTGGTGCAGACGTGTCTGGATGGGCGAGAAGCGCTATGTTGGAGATAGCGTCTTTGAGCTTCTCGAAAGACAGTCTAGTGTCGTCTGTAAAATGAAAAGACCGTTGGTTACCGCGGAGCAAGTCAGTCATTGGTTGAACAATGCTCGCGCAGTTAGGAATAAAGCGTCTATAATAGTTAACCAGGCCAAGAAATCGGCGTAACTGCTTGAAGGAACTGGGAGCAAGATAGTCCTTCAGTGCCTGGATTTTGTCTGGCAGAGCTTCAACACCAGACGCGGATATGCGGTGGCCAAGAAAGTCGATGGAGCTCTGGCCAAGCTCGCATTTATCGGGGTTGACGGTAACCCCATGCTGTGTTAAGCGTTGGAAGAGAGCGTCAAGTTGATGAAGATGTTCGTCATTAGAAGAGCTGGAGATAAGAATGTCATCTAGATAAGGATAAACGCCTTCGAGTCCTCGCGTTACCTCATGAATGAAACGCTGAAAAGGTTGGGCAGCGTTGCTGAGGCCGAAAGGCATTCTGAGGTACTCGAAAAGGCCGAATGGCGTGATGACTGCTGTTTTAGCAATGTCATCTGGCGCGACAGGTATCTGATGATAGGCGCGAACTAGGTCGACTTTGCTAAAGATAGACTTGCCAGCTAGAGCTGAGGTCAAGTCGTGCATGTGCGGAATAGGGTATTTATCCGGGACGGTAACTTTGTTAAGTGCCCTGTAGTCACCGCAAGGGCGCCAGTCACCGGATTTCTTCGGCACCATGTGTAATGGTGATGCCCATGGACTTTTGGACGGGCGGATGATTCCCAGTTCTAGCATTTGCTCGAATTCCGCCTTAGCAGCCTTGAGCTTGTCCTGGGCTAGTCGGCGAGGGCGGGCCGAAACAGGTGGGCCCTTAGTGCAAATGGAATGCATGACGTTCGACGTCACAGGAGGCAAGTCGTTCAGGACGCGAACGAGTGTAGGGTGCTTGCTGAAAGGCTCTAGAAAAGGCTGTGAAGCTTGAGGTAGGACACGAATGGGAGTGATAGCAGCCACGTTGGCGCTGGTCCCGATAATACTGAGTCGTGTCCTAGGGTCGATAAGCTTCTTCCTTTTAGAGTCGACGATGAGGTCGAAGCGTTGAAGAAAGTCTATGCCTATGATTGCGAAAGACACGGCAGCGATTATGAAAGGCCAGCGAAAGGTTCGCCGGAGGTCTAAGTTGAGCGTTAGCAGCTTTTCGCCGTAAGTTACGATTGGTGTGCCATTGGCGGCACGCAGCTTGGTCGGCGATGGTGAGACGACCTCATTTGGGCTACGGGGTACGACGCTAACTTCTGCACCAGTGTCGACTAGAAAGTCGGTGCCGGAAGTTAAATCCCTGACGCGGATGAGGCGACTTTGGTGTTGGCCAGTCGCGTCCGTCGCCGTTACGGACCGGCCGAGGTTTCCCTGCTTCTCGGCAAAGGTGCAAGGCTTGACACATTTACGAGCTGCGGTATCAAAGCGCTGGGGGTACCAACAGCTAGCTTGCCTGTTGTTAGACTTAGAACGTTTGCAGGGCGATTTTGATCGGCTATGACGACGACAATCCATAGTAAGCTGATGGACCTGGCGATTAAGTGTCGCGACTTGTGTTTGCAGGGCTTCTATGGTTGACTGTAAGCCAGTGATAGAAGTGCCCTGGGACGCGACGGCATTGATCTTGCTGGCGTCGGCTTGTGGCTGTGATCGTTCAATAACTCGATCCGCTAAGCCTGCTAGTTGAGTGAGCGGAGCGGAGCTCACTGTAGCGAGAATCGCTTGCGTGTTTTCCGGTAGCCGTTGTAACCATAGTTCGCGAAGTAACGTCTCATCCATGGTTGAAGAACCAAGGAGTTGCTGCATCTCTCGTAGCAGGGTTGAGGGCAGTTTGTCGCCCAGCTGCAGATCCCTGAAAAGCTGTTGCAGGCGAACGTTCTCAGAGGGCATAACACGCTTAATCGTGGCTTCCTTGAGAGCCTCATAGCGGTTTTCGGTCTGAGAAATGATGACGTCACGAACCTGCATTGATATCTCCCTGGGGAGATAGGACAGGAGCTTGCAGTACTTCGCATAGTCGGAAGTGATTCTGTGGTTATAAAACTCGGCCTCAAGATGAGCGAACCACAAAACAGGATCCATGTCCCAAAAAGGTGGAACTGAGAGAGATACAACACTAAGCATACACTCTACCTTAGGTTCTACAGAATCCATGACTTAAACAATGACGCAAAATATAGGCTACCGTATGCAAAAATTAACCGGAAAATATGAAAAATAAATGGAACGAACTCACCGGAGAAAATTTCGAAATATCAGGCGTTGAGATTGCTCCGGATCCGGGGTCACCAATTTAGAGGGTTGCCTATTCCGGGAGCCCAGAGAGCGATTCCAGAAGACGGATCGAGTTGCAGGGAAACTTTTATTGGTTGAGCAAAAGATTCCCTGTTGGCTAGCTATAAACGAACGACACCGTGGACTCTCTAGCTAGCGAAACGGAGCAAACACAGCACACAGAGCAGTCGCGTGTTGCAACCGAAGCAAGCGCCAAGCAAAAATGGCGCTGAGCAAGTAAAGCATTCGAACTCAGCAATCAGTTCAACAAACCACACCGGTTGCCTAAGTGTACAATTATAGAATTTTGGTTAGAATTTTACACAAGCAAGCCGGGGAATCTCCAGGCTGCTACACCTACAACCGTGTGTATCGAAATCACACTGCCGAAAGATCATTATTTCCAGGTGTCGGATACGACGCTCCGGTAAGAAATCTACACGCTATATGCCCATGCAGCGCTTTTTACAGCCTTTTTCACATATTCTGTAATGACAGCATTTCTCTGTAAAATGTCTGTGATGTGCTGGATGGGTTGTCTCCGCAGTATTCTTCAGTCCTTTCGACTGAACCGCATCCAGCTGTGTGAGACAAGAACGCCCGCTGTCTCTTTTCTTCTTCAACTTCACTATTGACGAACTCATTTAAATCATGTTCACAGGACACCGCTTAGAAGGTGTGGATCTGCTCCCAGGAGAACGGCCTTGACTTTTAGTATGCTGACGATATTGCCCTAACCTGTGACAGCTCACAAACGTGCCAAGCGGTACTTGACAGATTAGCACTGGCTGTCCGTCACTTCAAGCTTTGGTTCGCACCCTGGAAGTGCCAATCGTTCCCCCCGAACTTAGCGCGTGGCGCCTCCGTGACATTTTGTGAGGGTCATTTAGAAATCCTTCAAAATTCAACTACCTGGGAAGTTGTATCGGCGCCCGTGGGATTAAAGATGAACTCACGAACCGTATAGATGAAGTTCGGGGCACTTTTGGTAGTGTTCGCCACCTATGGCACCGGTGCGACATCACTCTCGCCCTGATGGGTAGAGTGTACAGTGCAGTGGTTCGTTCGACCCTACTGTAAGGTTGTGAAACCTGACCCCTTAGATCAACGGACATAGAGGCTAGTTACGTTCGACCATCGGTGTCTTCGCAATTTAGCTCATATCTGGTGGGAACACCGTGTGAGCAACGAGCGTGTTCGACACCTTGTTTACGATACAGGCAAAAGAAATGAACCGCTCAGCACCGTTATTTCACGCACCAGACTCCGATGACTCGGCCACGTGTTACATATGTCAGCCTACCGACTCCTGCGACGTGCGTTGTTTGCGCACCCGGGGGTGAGGATGGAAGAAGAGGAGGCGTGGCCAATCGTTGACTTGGTCGAGATGGATGAAGGCCTTCTCTTCCAAGCTGGCCTCAGTTGGAGCGTCTCGGCTCCCTGGTTGGGGTCCAAAAGACGATGAACACGTTTGGCTGGATGCATTTGATGATATGGCTAGGAGCCGACCTCAGTGGCGTTCATGCTGTGAGTTTTTTGTCCCACTCCATTCATCTTAGCTTCCCCATTCCACCACGATCTCACTATTTAGCGTTGTATAATTTTACATAGTAAATTTTTTTGCTGCTTAGTAACCGGTCGGTAGCTTACCGGAACGATGCCCATCCGTTACCGGTAGCTCAGGTGCCTTTCACCTGTTACATCTTTTCCCTTTATTCTTTTATGTATTGCGGCACAGTAGCTGAGGTGTTTTCCACCTCCAGTTAACGTGTATGATGATGATGACTGAACCGCCGTTTACCAGTTACCTTGTGCTTGCGCCCTCTTCACTTTAGAGCACCTAGAAATCAGCCCTGATTCGGTTGACAGACTTCCCGAACTAAACCCGAATTCCTCGCCAGGTCCTGATGAGCTACATCCTTTGTTTCTCAAAACAGTGGCTGGGCACATTGCTGTATCTGTCTGCCAAGTTTTCCAACGGTCCTTCAACGCAGGACGTCTCCCGCTTGCTTGGAATATAAGTACCGTTAAGCCCGTATATGAAAGTGGAAATCGTCAGGATTTTGGAAACTATCAGCCGATTTGTTTAACATCCATATTGTGTAAAGTCATGGTGAGAATTCTTAAGAGGGCCTTGTATCACCACCTTGATAATGTGAATATACTCTCCCGATCAGCATGCTTTCCGGAGGGCGCGCTCGTGTGCCTTCAACCTGCTTGTGGCCAGAAAAGTGGGCTTAATCGTTGGATGCGGGCAATCGCCTGGACGTCGTTTTTGTCGACTTCAGAATGACATTTGATAAAATCCCGCACAAACGGCTGCTCTTTGAACTTCGGGGTATTGGTGTTTCTGGGTTCTCTCTTGGATCACCGATTTTTTAAAAGGCCGTAGTATGCGAGTGAAGGTGAACGCAACTTACTCAGCCTGTTTTCATGACCAGTGGAGTTCCACAAGACTCCGTCCTCGGTCCAGAATTCTTCAAACTATTCATCAATGACCTTCCATCAGAGCTCTGTAAGGACTGTTTGCTATATGCTGACAACAAAGCTATGGCCATAAATGTCAGAGCTTGAGGATGCTGACCGATTGCAAGAGACCCTTGACCGCCTGCACAGCTGGCCAGTGGAGTGGCAATTGCCCATCAATTACGAAAAGTGTTCAGTCCTCCCTATCGGTGCTCCGTACACTTTTGGTGCTTATCACATTAGTGGCTTCTTGCTAAGGGACACTGCTTGTGTGAAGGACCTTGGTGTACTTGTCTCCTGATTTGCGCACAGTCCAGGACACTGTGGAGGGTAGCGGCTGTAAATAGGTTGTTTTGTGCTATAAGGAGATATTTCTCCCGCATGACCTTTGAGGTCTTCAGGCTCCTCTTCACTTCCCATCTACGCCTCATCCTCGAATACGGCTCACCCGCAGTCTATCCTCTTACAAAGACCGAACGTGTTCTCATAGAGAGGGTCCAACGAGGAGAGTCGAAATCGATCTCTGCGTTCCGCAATTTGTCTTAAGACCAGCGACTTCAAGCGATGAACATGTTTTTCTTGGCTTATCGTCCTCGTCGCAGTGACCTGGTTTACACCAGACGTATTCTGCAAAGGATAATGGGAAATGAACTAAAGGCGTTTTTTCAACTCAAAGTTGATAGTTCGACAAGGAGTCACTCATGAAAACCGTTTAAGCTGAGGAAGCTCCGAGTTCATGTCACTTTGCCCACCCGTGTGGTGATGGACTGGAACAATTTACCAGAGTCAGTCGTCAGCGCACAGAGTGAGGAAAGTTTCAAACGAGCTGAGCAAGCAAAAATCGTGTTGTTTTCCGTGCGATCGTGACGGTATCGCAATGATCCGCGCAATCCCTACTCTGAACAGAAAGCGAAGGAGCTGCCACGGGATTCTTATTCTGTTCTCTACCACTCCAGTGAAATTCTACTTCGTCGTCATCCTCAATCGCCTCTGCTACCGCTGCTTAAAACCGAAGGCATGGCTCCTCCACTTCATCGGCGAAAACTCGATCTCAAACTAAGTATCACAACGATAAGAAAGCTTTTACGAATGAAATCAGGACGATGACCTACACGGCCGTGGCGATCATGAATGCTGCTGAGGCATCTGACGCTGACCATGTTTCAAAGGGAACTTAAGAGAAGACAGTCTCAAAACTTAAAACAACTCTAGTGTCCACACCAAATCAACTGAAACACGTTTTAGATAAGCTTGTTCACCTGGAAAGACTGATAACAGAAAAACCGCTCCCACTAAAGTCTGAAACCCTTGGAGATAACAGCGCTCCTCCTGACCGCTGTCTAATAGTTACAAATGTTCCTGAATCCAATAAAGTGATCTCGGTTGAGAGAGTTCTCGAAGACCAAGCTTTTCTTAAACGAATGATTTCCCGTTTATTTAAGGAAAGCGAACAAGGTATCAACATCGTGTCTGCTTTTCGTCTTTGGAGAAGACATGACGATCCATCAAAAACTCGTCTCTTTAATATCGTCTGCCAGGATAAAGAAGAATGTCGTCGCATTCTTAGAAAAACCTCACACTTAAAAGGTGAAACACACTGTCTTGAAAGGCCTTTTCCCGGAAGATCGAATCAGAATGAAACAAGCCGTCAACTAACTGCGAACCCGCCGAGCGAACAGCGAAACTGATCTACATGTTGTGGGTCTTCGGGTGGTGCGCAAAATCCCAAGAGTCCTTTGGAAGCCAATCTTCTTGTTACCCAGCTCCCATGCGGATTACGAGTAATGTTTGCTAATGTACGCAGCCTCAAGAACAAACTGGGCGAGATTGCTCTGCTTGTTTCTGATCGTCAGCCAGACCTATTGGCTTTCACTGAGACTTGGTCGTATCCAGAAATTTTAGATGTAGAAATTAGCATTTCAGAATATCAACCCTATCGAGTTGACCGTACCCGTGGGCGAGCCGGAGGTGGAGTCATACTCTACTCGAAGGATTGCCTTAAGCTTCGCGTCATTGAGGCTGTCTGCGATTGTGTTGGCGTTACAGAGGTCATGTGGTTCAGGATCAACGGCGGATACCAACTGCTCACGATTGGTGTAGCATACAGAGCTCTATCGGGAGCTGATACTCCTCTGTTGCAATCGATAGAACCTAATGCTCTAGGTAGAAATTGTCTACTCATGCCTGACTTCAGTGCACCCAACATCGACTGGAATTTTCACTGTGATCTTCCCAAGGATTCCCGTCCCAACGAGAATGGACCTTAATGTGGTGCGACGGTTTGCGCACCTCTTTGGCCCATTGATCTATATTTGGTGGTACCTCCGGTCCCCTTGAGAGCTACTCCTACCAGGTTGGTCAGTAGTGAGAGGTCAAACAAAGTCTCCTGGTCCTCCAGGTTGGGATGGCGTCCATTTCTGTAAAACTAAATCATTGCCACCTCCCCGCTGCCTTGCGGACAGGCTTTTGAGCCAAAGGCTTTGGTTGAGGAAGGGTACAGGTGGACGGCCATCTAACCAGTTGGTATCCCTCGACCAGTGGTGTACCTCAAGGTACGGTACTGGGACCCACTCTGTTTCTCATCCACTTCAACGAGCTGCCCCAGCTTCTACGGTCGCCGTGTGCACTGTTTGCGGATGACCTCAAAATTTGGCGAGAAATTAATACTCTCGATGATTGTGACATTCTCCAACAAGACCTCGACCGCCTCGCAGTATGGTCTGCTGAAGTCCACCTACCGGTCAACCCGGCTAAGTCCCTATTCATGAATCTCGGGAAAGCTGTTCACGGCCGAACGTACACCCTAGACGGCCAACCACTGCATCCCACACCTTCTGTGAAAGACTTAGGTGTACTCTCACGCTGCGACTTGAAGTCCGTCGACAACACCAACAAACTATCGAAACGGACTGCGCATGCTCTGGGCGCTGAAGCGCAGCTTCTGCACTTGGTCTGAGGACG